ACTGAATCCTAAGCAGACTGTGTTGTTGCCCTTCCTGCGCCCTGGGAAGCCCCCGCGCATGGTGCCCACCATGACCAGCACCAAGTACCCGGTGGCCTCCTTCTTTGACTCCCGCCTGCAGGTCCAGGTAACCCCTCTGGGACCAGTCATGAGGCACTGGGGGGCTGGTGAGTCACTGCTGGGGGGAAGTCCAGTTGCTCTAGGGAGGGATGCCAGGCTGTGACGTCGCTCCTGTAGCACTCGGAGAGGATGCCAGGTTGATGTCATTCCCCTGGCACTGAGGGGGGCACAGACTGTGACCTCACTCCCCTGGGACTGGGGGGAATGCCAGGCTGGGGGGTGCTGGGCTGTGGGGTCCCTGAGGTGACCCTGGTGGGGGTGTCCATCCTGCAGGTAGGGCGACTGAAGCTGAGTGGGGGGCTGAGCCTGGTGGTGCTGGTGCCACGGGGACACCATGGGACACTGGGGTCCCTGGAGCGGGCGCTGGACCCCCCCACCTTCCTGGGCGTGCTGCGGCAGGCAGTCCACGCGCCCCTCCGGGCCACCTCTCTGGCTTTGCCCCGGCTGCACCTCGACCATGCCCTGGACGTGGTGGCCCTGGTCCACGACATGGGTAAGGACACCAACCCCCAGAAGACCCATGATGTCACGGCTTTGGCTGGGTGGGCTGGGGTACCAGGTATCAGTCCCTGCACTGGAGATGATATCACTCCCTGCAGGACATCACAGGACCCTCCCTGGTCCCTTTCCCCAGTGTTCCCAGGGTTCCCAGTGTCCCTATGCCTTTGTTGTCCCCAGGGTCCCCCGGTACCCCCATGTCCCTGGTTTCCCCCATGTTCCCAGTATCCCCAATGTGCCCTGCTGCTCTCAGCATCCATAATGTCCCCCAGGACCCCAGTGACCCTCCGTGTCCCCATATTACCCCTACTCTCATGGCCCCAATGTCCCCAACATTCCCCATCTCCCTGGTGTTCTCCACATCCCTTAGTGTCCCCTGCTGCCCCCCCAATGTCCCCAGTGTCCTCGGTGTGCCCTTGGTGTTCCCCCCAACCTCAGTGACCCTGTGTCTCCACATCCCTCAGCGTCCCTATGTTCCCATTCCCTCGGTTTCCCGTGGGTCCCCTGTGTTCCCATCCCCTCGGTTTCGCCTGGGTCCCCTGTGTTCCCATCCCCTCGGTTTCCCGTGGGTTCCCTGTGTTAGCGTCCCTATGTTCCCATTCCCTCGGTTTCCCGTGGGTCCCCTGTGTTCCCATCCCCTCGGTTTCCCGTGGGTTCCCTGTGTTCCCATCCCCTCGGTTTCG